GCACCGGGTCGGCCACCACGGCTGAGGGGCCCTGCAGGCTCTGGCCGCACACGTGGTGGTGCTTCTCCCAGTCCTTGTGCTGGCAGAAGGAGCCGCAGTAGCGTGCTGCGTTGCAGCCGCTGCACGTCTCGCTGGCCTTGCGCCCACAGTTCCAGCAGCTCTGGATTGGGTGGAGGAGATGGTCAGGGCTGGGCCACTCCAAATCCCCAAAGTCCCCAGCCCAGCTGCAGAATGGGGAAAGATACCCTCTACACAAATGGGCTTGGACCCAGCCAGGGTGTGAAGTGAGACCCCATAGTGCTACAGCTTGTGGTGACCGTTGGCGAACATGGCCCCTTGGGTGGGGCATTTTGGGGGAATGGGCTCGCACGACTACATTGCACACCTTTAGCCCACCCAGAGAGGTTCATGCTGGGCTTACAGGACCACAGGGTCCTCACGAGGGCAGGGAGCCACTGCCCCTTCCCTCTCTTCCAGGCAGCCCTCCTGCCCCACCAGGGCTCCAACACAGAATGTAGGGGCCCCAGAAGAACAAAGATGGCCACGCTCCAATGTGGGGTGCATGGCAGGCCTGCCTCGGTCACATCCTTCCCCCACCATTGGGCTTCTGTGCAACAAACATAACCCAGCCGGCCATGTGCGTAAAAGGTGGGCAGGGACGCCGGGGCAGGCCCAGGCTATGTGACAGAGAAGCAAACCTGCTATGGGGACAGGCCCAGGTGCCTAGTTAACCTCTAAAGCCTCTTGGGCCCCAACAGCTCCTGCTGTCCCTGGCTCACTCTGGCCCGGCCACGTCAGTCTCCTGCAGTCCTCACTCCGCCAGCTGTGCCTGCCCCCATCTGGCCTTTGTCCCTGCTGCTCCCTCCTGGGATGACACTGTTCCCTGATTGCTGCACGCTGGCTCACTTCCTCCAGGACTGCTCAGACGTCACTGCGAAGGGGCCCTGACTGACACCCCACCCTCCTTCCCACACAGGTCCATAGCCGGAAATGCTGCAGGCTTCACGTCAAACACCAGCATGATAATAACCTCACACCCTCCCGCGTGTGCACATGTGCCGGGAGCTGAGGAGGTGCTTTAGATGCCACCTGGGGTCTTTACATCCTCCTCTTGCCTCCTGCTTCACAGGTTAGAGAGCATGAGCTCCGGTGTCTGCAAGCCTGGCTGCAAATCAAGGCCCTGCCACTTCCCTGGGCAAGCTACCCCCCACTCCCAAAGCCCTCAGTTTCATCTGTACAATGGGGACACCCACAGGACCCTTCTCACCAGGCTGTGTGGGGTCAAGAGGCCCTGAGAGCTCATGGGGATGCCAAGACGGCGCAACAGCCCTGGACCTGGACTTGGGGCGGGGTGTGGGGTGGGCACCTACCTCACTGGAGTCCTCCTGCTGGTTGACGACAGTGAGGGCATCCTCCGAGGCCTGCCGCCTGGCCTCGGCCAGGGCCCGCTCCATCTTGGCGCGCTCTGTGCTGATGAGCTCGTGGGCCTTCCGCTCGGCATCTGACACAGCTTTCTGCAACTCAGACATTGCCTGCCGCTTCACCTCATTCACCGCCTCCTCTGCAAAGGACATGTGGCCATGGTCACATGGGCCGGCCTACCCAGGTCTCCTGGGCCTCCCGCTCATAACCCTGGGGGCCGGGCTTGTGCATAAGGACCACATGCATCCCTGCATCGGTGTGCAAGCATGGCCATGGAGCAAATCTCCAAGCTCATCTCCAGCAGTGTTCTCAAACTCCAGCAGCAGTGACAGATTTGATGCAGGGGGCCTGGGGAGGGCCCTAGAATCTGCATTCCCAACAAGTTCCAAGTGCTGCTACTGCTGGTCTTGGCACCCACTTTGAGAACCACAGCTGTATTGTTCTGCCCCACAGACAGTCTGCCTTCCCCTGTGGCCTGTCTGGATGCAATCCAGGGAATGCCTGGTCTAGGGCTCTGCATTGTTATTTCCCCCCCAAACCCTGTTATCTCCCCCACATTTACCACCTCTGCCTGTTCATGTCTGAGGAGTCAGTGCATTGTTCTTACTGTGGCCAGAGCGTCTGCTCAGATGGCACCCTGCCCTCTGCCCCCACTAAGGCAACCCCCCCCTCTGCCCCCACTAAGCCAACCCTAAGGCCTTTCAGGCCTGCCTCAGTTTACCTGGCAGTGCTGTTCTTGCAGCATGGTGTGAAGGAGGCTGGGGTGGGATATAAGGGGCAGAGATGGCCCTTGAGCCTTCTGTTCCAAGTGTTTGCACACTGTGTGCTGAGCTGCTGGCAATGCCAACTGCAGCCACCTGTCCCCATGACACCACCCGAGCTCCACATGGTTGTCACCAAGGGTCCCATGAGGCCCTGCTGTGGGCCAGAGGGAGGTGAAGGGGACAGCCAAGGGAAATGAGGACCCGCCTCTCCCCGTCCAGGCCGCCCTCCTGCCTCGACCTGGGTGGCTGCTGCCTGCCTAGCCCCTTAGCCTCCAACTCTGAGCTGGGACCCTCCACTCTGCTTTCAAAATCCTGAGACTGCCTCCCTCTAAATCATACTCTACACTGAATCTACCACATGAATCCAAACATGTCGGGATCCTGCCTCTTCTCTGCACTGCCACCACCCTTGAGCCCGCCTCTCTCTCTCGCTGCCCACAGGCTCTAGCTCCTGCCCAGCCTCTCCCCAAAGTCTGTTCCCACGAAGCAATGAATGTCCCCCGCAGCATTCCCGTTGCCATGCTCAACACTACGCCCAGATTCCAGCTCTAAGGGCCTGTCTCGTATGTGTGTGTGTCTGTGCACACTCGTGTGCATGTTGGGCCTGAGGCCCTGCTTGTTTCACTGAGCATGGTGTTCCCTGGCAGGTGAGGGTGGCAATCGTCCTACCTGGATAGGAAATGCACCGTGACCCCTCCATAAGCCCCATCTGTGAAGCCATGAGCTTGGGGCCAGGTGAGCCCCCTACCAGAAGCTCCTTGCAGAGAGGGCAAGAGGGTCTAGTCTAGGCCTGCAGGCCCCAGCTTCCGCCCCCCTGGCCCCACTCACCAGCCTTCCTCCAGATCTCCTCGGGCATGTAGCTGGAGAGGGTCCTAGGCATGAACTCCCGGTGCACGTCTGAAACACAGGGGCCGGTGTCACACACAGGACGGGGCCACAGGGCCCTGTGTGAGTGTGTTCTTGGCGGGAGTCCGAGGTACTCATGGGTAGAAACACGATATCAGTTGCTGGGCTGGGGGCAGGGCAGCGCCATGGAGGGGGATGCTCTGGACCTGACTGGGAGCTGGGCCCATCCTGAGCCCCTCTTGGTTCCCATAGTCATCACCCAGGGGATGAGTGGAGACCCACAGAACTCTGAGTCCGGGCTTCCTAGTGGGTCCAGGGCTCTGCGTTGTTCTCTCCCCCACACTCGCCACCTCTGCCTGCTCAGTGTGTTGAGCCACTGGGATTTGAGTCTGCTTCCTAGTGGGTCAGGCAGTGTCTTTGTACCTCTTTTCCCAATGAAACTGTTTTGGGTGGCATTATATTGTAGAGTCTGTATGCGGGCCCTGCTGCCCACGGTCCCGGGCACCCCCCTCATGCGCCCTGCAGCCCCTGCACCACCCGTGCTGCTCTCTCCGCCACTCCCTCTGTCCCCTCCCAGCCCAGCACGCACCTAGCTGAGACCCCTCTGCTCCTGTCGAGCTGCTGAGGGGCCGGGCGGTGGTGGTCGAGGGGCCCTTCTTGGTGTCCTCAGCATCGCTGTAGCGCCGGACCCAGTGGTTGAGCTCCTCGCGGTCAGCCTCCTGGCACCGGCGCAGCACGGTGAGTGACCTCCGCGTCTTCTCGGCCATGTCCATGATGCAGTTCAGGAGCTGTGGGCGGTGGGCGGGCGGCCTAAGCATGCAGGGCCCTTTTCCCACACTCCTGGGCCTTGGCCAGGCCACTGTCCATGAGGTTTGGCCATGAGGGGCGGGGAGTTAAGTCTTTGTATGGGGCCCTCCTTGCAAACCTTAAGGTGCAGTCTGCTCCACGGAGCAGATGTGGCCAGCACCACTCTGGGACCACACCTTCTGCCTAGCTTTTTCCCTAAAAGGAAGCAGGGCCAAGGATGAACCTGGAAATGGTGTTGAAGAGGTCCCACCCCTACACCAAGTGACCTTCCGGAGACTCTGCAGGGGCAGAGGAGGGAAGGTTCTGAGGGGCGGACCGGGATGTGGAGGGTGGGCTGAGATGGGTGTTCCCCTTACCCCCATGCTCCCAGGGCCCACTCTCCCCAAGGCCTTGCCCCATGCCCCCCAGGTGGGCATAGAGCAAAGGGGAGCCCGTCCGAGCCCTGTCCCCACAACCCCACCGGTTGGGCGGACTGTGGCACCTGTGCCCTGGCCCGGACACTCACATTGTTGAGGTGCTTCCACTCCTCAGCCCACTCGCGCTCAGTGAGCCTGTGGTCGATCACTTCCTCTGGCCGTGACCCATGGACCACTGCGGAGGAGAGGGGACACTCAGGCCCCACCCCATGCTCCCAGGCCCTACCCCATACTCCCCCAAGCTCCGCCCTGGGCTAGATCCTCCATAGGCTGTGCCCACCCGGGTAAGATGGGGAGGGTGAAGAAAGGAACAGGCCTGGCCTCTACTGAAGGCTTGAGAGTAAAAGACCCATGCCCTCAATCCTTGCTCTGGCTTTGGCCACCCTTCCCCTACCTCCCTACCTCCAAAACCCATTGTTCTCACTCTTTCTGCCCTCTGCTGCCAACCAAGCCAGACTCAGACTTCACTTCTGGGGTCCCACCCTGCTCAGAAGCTCTCAGGGCCTCCGTGTGTCAACTGCCTGGCTTCAGCCAGGCTTTACCGGTTCCTCTCAGCCAGCTGGACTCCTATGCATACGTCAAAGCCCAGGTTTCAAGCCCTTCCTCCTCAGTAGCTCTGGGCCCTCAGAATTTCTTAAGTTCCATGTGACCCAGCAAGTGCTCCAGCTTATCTGCTGGGTCTCAAGTGAACCAGTCCAACTGCGGTCTCTTGGGAGACAGGGGGCTCAGGAAGCCCGTCGTCCTGACGATCATTCCCCACAGGACCTGGGACCCTCATTTTCCCTCTCCAGGCCTCAGTTTCCCTACCCCACCTATCTCAGGGGGCGTGAGAAGACCTTTAGGAGGCACATTGGTGGGGAGAGCCCGGTACAAGCAGCTCTGCGCCAAGTGCTCTACACCTTTCATCCCTGCATTGACCTTGAAGGAGGCTCTGCTGTCATTTCCAATTTACAGAGAACTCAGAGAACTGAGAGAATGGAGGCTGCTTAAGGGGACGAGTTTGCCCAAGGTCACCCAAGGTCAGCCTGAGCAGAGCTGTGCCTTCAGCCACTGGCTGGTATGGCTCCAGGGACTGAAACAATTGTTCCCCCAATCAGAAACAGAACCATCGTGAGCTGTGAAATGAGCACAAGTGCAGCAGCACCTGTCCCCACGGCGGCTCCTCTCACAGTTTCTGACCTACCCAGTGCTCTTGCCCCCACTGTTTTGGGTGCCTATGTTGGGTGATGCAGTGCCCATGAATGCTTTTGGGTTAAGGTCTCTCTATGTAGGCTTTCTTCAGCTCCTAAGGGTCTTCTGGACCCACAAACTCAAAATGCCTCTCCAAATTGCCGAAGGGGTGGGAGGTGGCAGCCACAATCCGCTGTCCACAGCCCTGCCCCGTTGCCCGCGGAGCCAGGGCTTTCGCCAACGCCCCAACCAAAATAGTGGCTGAGATCTGCCCAACAGCTGGTGTCTATTTTTGCATTAGCAGAAGCGGGTGGGGATAGCACCTGCCTGACCCGGCCACAGGGAGCCAGACACTGTCACCTGCTGCCCAGGCCGGGGCCCTGGAAGCTTCTGCGGGGTGGGGGCGAGGAGACGGCCTTGTATGGAGTGAGGCCTCTGCTGACCCTGCCTCTGGGCCCCCTTTCGGTGTCCTGGGCCTCTATCTTAGAGGCTGCTGTTTCTAGGCTGTCCCCAAATACTCTGGGTAGGAGCTGGTCCTGTTCATCTCTTTGTCCCCCAGGGATGGTCAGTGGTCAGGCAGATGTGGCCAGAAGACTTTGGGCATGTCAGTTATGATCTCTGGACCTCAGTCTCCTCATCTGTGATATGGTGTGCTGACATATCACACATATATGAGAACACGTCATGGCCCCCTTTAAGAACGGAGTTAAGGATACAATGCAAGCAAGAGGTGAGTGCTCCACCCTAGATTTTTTCCCACTGCAGTAGGTCCTCGGGTTACATGGGGGCGAGGAGACGGCCTTGTATGGAGTGAGGCCTCTGCTGACCCTGCCTCTGGGCCCCCTTTCGGTGTCCTGGGCCTCTATCTTAGAGGCTGCTGTTTCTAGGCTGTCCCCAAATACTCTGGGTAGGAGCTGGTCCTGTTCATCTCTTTGTCCCCCAGGGATGGTCAGTGGTCAGGCAGATGTGGCCAGAAGACTTTGGGCATGTCAGTTATGATCTCTGGACCTCAGTCTCCTCATCTGTGATATGGTGTGCTGACATATCACACATATATGAGAACACGTCATGGCCCCCTTTAAGAACGGAGTTAAGGATACAATGCAAGCAAGAGGTGAGTGCTCCACCCTAGATTTTTTCCCACTGCAGTAGGTCCTCGGGTTACATCGGAGATCCGTTCCCACGGCGCGACATAACGTGATTTTCCCTGTAAGTCAGAGCCCACCTACATAAGCACCTACGTCGCTCACATGGAGCACATACACAGCAGGAATGAAGTGAAACAGTAAAAAAAAAATTAAAAGAAAGATAACAATTCCTGACCTTTACTTGTGGTAAATAAATAATAAACATAAAGCACATATGTACATACGTCGAAATGATGGAACTTTTTAAAAAAAAATAAATACTGTAAATGGGAGACGGCGACGTAACCATGAAACGACGTACGTCGAGTCCGACGTAACCCGAGGACTGCCTGTAATATCAATAACAGCTGGCCACACAGCCCCCACTTGCACTGGATTAACTCCCTCGGTCCTTACTCGACCCTGAGGGTGAGACTCCTGTTAGAGCCCGCCAACAGAGGAGGAAACGGAGGCACAGAGGTCATGTGACCTGCCCAAGGGTGTATCACAGGGAGTCCTCGGAGCTCAGAGGAAAGGCAGTCCCCAGCCCTTGCGCTCACCATGAAACCCCTGCTCCTCCCAGTGCCCACGCTCTTATGAATTTGGTGTTTTGGTGTTCGTTGTCATCCCACTTCAAGAGCAGGATGGGCATGTGTGGTTGGTGGGCCCAGTGAGAGCTCTTGAGTCTTCGGGGGTGTCTGCTTTCCCTCAGGGTGCCCAGCCATGCCTGCGGGAGTGCCTGGGAGGCAGGGGCTGCAGCTCCTGTGACTTGGGGGCCCCACAAGCTAGAACTTCCCATAAACGGGTTCTCCTGGCTGGCCTGTGCGCCGCAGGAAATAAGCAACGGTCATTCAGTTGCCAAATATCGCTCTCGTATGTGGTCTTCATCCAGGGCTCCTGGCTCACAGTTCCCAAACCCTTGGAATTTCCTAAGCGTAGAGAGTGATACAGGTGTCTTTTCTTAATGTTAATGAGCTGCCTTTAGAACAAGATGAGGGCTGGTTGCTCAGAGAACCAACCATGGGAGTAGAGGGCTGAACGTTTAGTCCACCCATGACCTCCAGGTGGCAAGAGGGGCTGGAGGTTGAATCAGTGATTTACTCAATCGTGCCTAGGCAACAAAGCCTCCGTAAAACCTCCAAAGAAGGTTTGGAGAGCTTCTGGGTGGACGAAACTCCTCAACCTTTCCCCATCCCTTGCCCTCTGCATCTCTACCTGGCTGTTCCTGAGTTGTAACCTTTTATAATAAACAGGTAATCTAGTAAGTAAATGTTTCTCTGAGTCTGTGAGCCATTCTAGTAAATTAACTGAACACAAGGTGGGGGTTGTGGGAACCTCTGATTTATAGTCGGCTGGCCAGAAGCACAGGTGACAACCTGGACTTGTGACTGGCATCTGAAGGGGGTGTGCAGTCTTGTAGGACCGAACCCTTAGCCTATGGGACCTATGCTGTCTCCAGGTAGAATGTCAGAATTGAGTTCAATCGCAGGACACTATGCTGTCATCCAAGGATTGCTTGATGTTGTGTGGGAAGCAGCCCCCATGTGGAAATTGGGTCCAGGAAGCTAATTTATTGCCCTCTCTCTGCCCCAGCTGCAGAGCCTGGTGGCCTCCCTTTTCTTGTCTCTATAACGAGATGACACACCTGTTCAGGGGCCAAGGGCAAATTGAGTGGCTCTAGGTCCCCCAGGCCCCATACCCGTCTGTGCTTGCCTCTGTCCAGTCGGGGCCCCAGGACAGGAACACTCACAATCATGCCCCCTGGGAGGGAAGGGACCTTTTGGGCCCTGAGGGTGAGGATGTTGAACTGCCCCCCAGATGGAGGTCCGGGAAAGATGGCTCTCCCTCAGAAGCTTCCGGAACCCAGCCAGGGTGGGGATCCCCTCTGTGCCCTGGGGCCAGTACCCCACTCTCATCCTTTCTCTACACTCATCTCCTCTGCGTCTTGACACATACACACAGTGGCTCTTGAATGCTCTCCCCACACACAGGTGCACGTGTGCTCCTACTAACATGCACACACATGCCAACCCCTGCCCCCAGAACACTGCTCACTGAGTTGCCGATGGCGCTCCCGAAGCTCCCGGGGGTCAGGGTGGCGATAGGAGTCACGGGAGTGGTGGGCCAAGGCCATGTCCTCGAGGCGGTAGTGTGGTGGCGTGGGGTGGGCCAGCCCATTGCTGGGGCTGAAGCGCTGGGCAGGGCTCAGGGTGCACGGCCGTTTGCTGAGGGGGTCAGGGTGCAGCGGGTCACGGTCTGACCCATTCTCTTTGGTCCTGGCCAAGAGAGTGGGCAGGAGGTCAGTGATCACAGAACCAGGAGCCGTGGATAGAAGTCCAAGCAGGAGAGGTGAGAGGGAGAGAGAGGTGGTGGGGAGAGAGAGAAAGAGTAAGGGGGAGACAGGGAGAGATAAAACCAGTCCACTGGGGACCCAGCCTTGAATCCCGCTCCTGGTGTACCGGCTCTGGGGCCTAGTGGTCACGAAATCTGAATGTCTGTTGAGAGAACGAAGAGAGGGGGACACCCTCTCCTGGCAGCAGGACAAGCACCCATCTCTGTGACCCAGCAGTGAGGGCCAGCCCATGTGCCCGGGTACCTCAGGCTCCCGGGCACTTGGGGTCCACATCTAGCACCAAGAGAATCACCATGGAATTCCCTCCAGACTCCCCTCCTGCCTATCCCCTTGTCCCCCCAGGGGGACATCTGAGTCCTCAGGAGACCTCCCCACAGCCTGGCAGGGCAGCCTCTCTGAGTCAGCCTGGGCAGTGGCCTTGCAGGTAGGGCTGAACTTGACCAGCTTGCTCACTCGCTGCGGGCAATAGCATTGACCCCAGTTCTCTCAGCACTGGAACGAGGGTGCCTGGTGAGCTGTGGCACCAGAGCCAACTGGTCCCTTCACTGTCTCCCTCCCCGGCCACAGACACCCCCAAGTACCTGTCAGGTGTCCTCCTCTTGCCGTTCTCATTGACTTCCAGCAGGAGCTCCGAGGAGTCAATGGGGGAAGAGGCGTTGGCATCCAGCAGGAGCTGCTCGTGCTGGGCCAGGTACTGGGCAGGGGTCTGCTTGGCCAGGCGGGCGCAGTGCAGGAGTTCACGCTGCAGCAAGGGCAGGTTTGCCTGTGGGGAGGACACAGGGTGGGTATGGGCTCACTGACGATGGGGGTCAGGGCACAGGGTGCACAGCCTTGCTCTGATGCCAGGCCGGGAGGCTGACAGCCAGCCTCACTGTGTGACTTCGGGTGAGCGGCATGACCTCTCTGGGTATCAAGTTCCTCCACTACAACCTGGGTTCGAGGGCAGGCAGGAAGGCTAGGTAAGAGTGTACCCCCCACCCCCCAGGGAACACAGTGATTTGGGGTACAGGGGATCTGAGCCCAGATCCTGGTCTCCCAGGCTGGGGCTTCTCCACTTCACTGAGCTCCTTCCCACGGTGGCATCTGGAGAAGGCGAGGAGAGGACCATGATGACGGCTCCTTGCCTGCGCCCGTGGAAGCAGGCACCCGATCCCCACTGTGTGGAGAAGGAAACTAGGGCTCTGAGCGAGGAGGTGGGCAGCCCTGCACACAGCTAACTAGATGGAGGAGCTGGGCGCAGGACTGCAGTGTGTCTGCTCTGGACCCCCATACGTGCTGATGGGAAGCCGCTGCACAGCCTTGAACGAAGCTTGGCGTTTGGGCTACGCACATCAGTGTGCAGTAGCACTCTGAGCAGCCACCTGTGTCACTGCCTGTGGCTGCACCACCCATGGTCCTTACAACCTTCAGGGATGGGCATTGTGACTGGTCCCACATTTATGGGTAAGGACACTAGGGCACAGAGTGTGGAGTGATACGTGGGGATGCACAGGATTCAAATGCAGATCCTGCCTGTAGCAACTATGCCCTCCTGCCTGTGCCCTTGCCCTGGCTCTGGGGCCTCCCAGAATGTCCTGCCGGGTGGCCAACGGGCTCCTCATGTGCCTTCCAAAGAGACTTCCCAGAGCCACTGTGGTGAGTAGGGTTGTGGGGGAGGGGGTGGCAGGCTGGATGGAGGCCCAGCAGCAGGCCACTTGGGAGAGCCCCAGTTCTAAGTATTTGTAAATAATTACAATTCCCCAACTTTCTCATGGCGTTTCAAAGCTGCCACACAGCCTTCTCCTGCCTCTGCCTCCCCAGAACCCAGCAGCACACCCGGACCCAATCAAGCAGCCGATGCAGTTTTGTCAAGCAGCGCCGGCTGCCAGGTCTGTTTTTCTGTTTGGATAGCTGAACGCGGGCCAGCCCGCCATCTGGCGAACATGTTAGGAGCATGAGCTGGGGAAGGAGGTCCCGGGAGGTCTGAAGACGCCAAACATCCTCCTCTCCCTGGCTGGCCCCTCCTCTCCCTTGCAGCCTCCCTTTGGCCGGCCGGCAGGGCGGGACTGCACAGGCACCGGCTGGTCGCTGTTGGGGTGGTAGAAACATCTGGATTCTTGGCCGGCTGGGGCCAGCTGGGAGCCGGGACCACGGGTGGAGGCTGGCTGGGCGGGGCAGCCTCTTCCAGCTTCTGGAAAGCCCCAGCACTCAGCCATGCACAGCGTTGAGCTCAGGAAAGGGTGCAGGGGGCCCAGGGTCCTTGGGTGGGGGAGCAGGGACCCCAGCCCAGAAGAAATGGGTAGAGTGTGGAGAGCCATGACTGGCAGATCCCTCCAGGCAGCAGTTCCCATTGTGTCCCCAAAGGCCCAGGTGCCAGGGAGGCCTCACCACTTCGGTGCTGGACAGACTAAACTGGGGGCAATGATCTCTGGACCTGGACTCTACTGTCTGAATGAAGGTTCTGACGCTGCAGAAAAGCCTGGAACTGCCCTCTTCACAGATGGGGATTCTGTTTCAGAGGGAAATCAGTGTTTGCAAAAACAACCACAATAATGGTGTTAGTGGAGCTGACATCTTCCACAAACGGCATGCCCGTGGCCAGCCCCCCCTGCTTTGCCATGTGACCTTGGGGAAGTCACTTAACTCCTTTGGCTTTTGCCTCATCGGCAACTGGAGCTGTGAACAGCACCTGCGCCTTCTGTCCTGGACGCGAAGGGCTCCTGTGAGCTTCTTATGAATTAACTCCTCCATGCCAACCCGTGAGGTGGCTGTCACATCCCCCGTGACGGGCAGAGGACTGAGGCCAGAGTCTTTCCGAAGCCCATGGGTGGAGCTGGGGTTTGAGCCTGAGCTGCATTCTCAGCCAGAGTTCCTGCCTCTCTGCGGTACGATAGCTCCAAGGGCCCCGCCGTCAGGGTACCGCACGCTGCCCACACAGTGGGCCTAGTGCACCATCGTACCCGAGAAGGTCACGGAGGAGGTGACACAGTCGGTCGGGCAGGGGGCACTCCTGCTGGGATCCCCCACAATGCTCTGGGTTTTAAAGGGGCCAAAGCTCCTACCACAAGGAGAATAGGGGCTGCTCCCCCGGCAGGACCATGGGGACAGGCCAGGGCCTTGTCAACAACCCCCGGAAACAGAACTGGCTGCCCCCGAGGAGCTGCATGTCAGTGAGAGGAATGGACTGTGTCCTTGACAGTCCTGTCAACCCAGGGCCCTGGGTGGGATCCCAGGCCCCCGGCGCTGCAGGCAGGTCGCTCACCCTATAGAAAGAGCAATCTAGGCACAGAAGCCCTAATAGCATAGGAGAGCTGCTGTGGACAGAGGGGAAACTGAGGCAGAGAGATACCTCAGCAGGCCGTGCTAGGCTGGGCATGTCCTGTCCAGCGCCTCATGGGGGTGTGTCAGGGAGGATGCTGGGGTGCAAGGCACAGTGGGCATTGGGCAAGGCCTGGCTGGGGAGAGCAGGGGACACGGATGTTGGCCCTACCCCTGCTCCTCGGATAAACAAGGGCAGCTGACGCGGGCGGGCTGGACATCTGCTGTAAATATTTGATCCGACAGAATAAGCAGGCGCACTGTGTCCCCAAAGATGGGGAGTGGTGGAGTCAGCAGTAAGTTGAAAGGAGGAGAGAGAAGGGAAGGGCTCCTAATGAATTGCAAATGACTGCCAGATGGGCCCAAACCCTGCTCCATGCCAGCAGCCTCTTTGTCGCCAGCTTAGGAGTGTGAGCTCAGTGGGGTGTGGGCGGAAGGGCAGGAAGGAGAGAGGGAGAGAGGGTGTAGATGTGGGGGCACAAAGTGGGGTCCCCTTGGCAAGGGACTGCAGGGAACAAGGTGTGGGTCTGGGACATACCCTGTAAAAGCAGGGGGTGTTTGGAGTCTGATGGATCCAGGTTCCAGCCTTGGCTCCATCTCTCCACCAGCGGGGGAGACCTCAGGGCCTCAGTTTCCCCACCTGTTAATCAGGAACTATGCCTGTGCCACCCCTCCTTACAGGGATCCTGGGGGCCAGCAGGGGCGGTGTTGAAGGTGTTTTGCAAAGCATGCCTTGTCTGCAAAACATTTTTAAGTCCCCAGATGACAAAAGTCAATTCTTCATGTGCATTGCTTCATGCAATCTTGCCAACAGCCTGAAAATGATTCCCACTTTACAGCTGCAGAAAATGAGGCATGGAGGGGCGAGCCAGCCTGGCCCAGGCCAACAGGGGCTCAGCTGCAGGGGCAGGGCTCAAACCTGGGAGTGTCTCGTCTGCTCTGTCCTACCAGGGCCCGGTCGTGCGGTAAGCAGGGCCCACTCTGGAAGCATCTCAGAGGCTGGGAAATGAGAGCCCCAGGGAACCCTGACTTCAGGAGGTGCACGGCAGCAAAGGGTCATGGGGTCAAACACTTTTGGGAATTGTTCCCTCTTGGCCCTTCTGGGAGGGGGTGATCCTCGTTTAGGGGAGTGAAGACTCTGTTGTAACATGGTCTAGGCCTGTGCTTGTCCTTGTGGAAATGTAGGTACTGACTCAGTGGGTCTGGGTCGAGCCCAGGAACCTGCATTGCTCATAAGCCCCTGGTGCTGCCACCAGACACCAGCTATTCCCGCTGAGTGGCCTGGTCCATTGTTTATCTTCCATGTTTGACTACACGACCTTTTTTTTTTTTTTTTTACATCTGACAGCATTCATTTATCTATCCACCTTTCCACCAACATACCACCCACCATCTGTCTGTCCACCCACCTGTCCCTCCATCTGTCCTCTGTCCCTTCCCCCTCACTACCCCTCAAACATAGCAGGCACACCCTTCTCCAGAGCCTTTGCACATGCTTGGAAGGCTCTGTGCCCTGCTCTCCACCGGGGTCCCTCCCTCCCCTCCGCAGCCCTCATCATTTGCCCCTTCCTGTGTCACACATCACAGAATTTATAGCTATTGCTGGTTGGCTGTCTCCCATCCCACCAGGCCATTGGCTCCAGAAGGGACTGTGTCTGCTGTGCTCACTGCTATCTCCCTGAGCCTTGCACAGTACCTGGCACATATAGGTGCTCAAAAAATAGCTGTACAGTAGACAAGTGCCTTTGGCCAATACTATATAATAAAAGGCTAATATGCAAATTGTCCCCTCAGGAGTTCGACCGGGAGTTTGTTCTCTTGCTATGACGTGCGCTGGCCACCAGGGGGCGGCGTGGAACATGCCGGGTGACCAGCTGCCGTGGCTGGGCACTGAGGGAGTGAGGGAAGGAGGAGGTGGGAGGCGGGGAGGCGGGGAATCTGATTGGCCCTGATCGCTGGCCAGGCCTAGGGACCCTACCCGTGCACGAATTTTGTGCACCGGGCCTTTAGTAAATAATAACAGGACTGATTGGAGAGCTTTCTTATAGCACTGGGTTTGGTGGCCCACTAATCCGGTCTGGCAACTAGTCAGAGCTGTTCCCTGGGTACTGGATGGCTGAGCATGATGCCTGGTCAGAGCTGGCAGAGAATGAACTTGGGGCTCCTGGGGGAGGCCTTGGCATGAGGGAGCAGGGTTTGCTGTTACCTTCAGGAAAGGGATGACAAATGGGCGCAGTGGGAAGTTGGTGGCCTCCTGAAGCTTGGAATGAAACTCCTCAATGGTCAGTGTAGAGTTCTGAGGGGAGAAAACCACCACGCATCAGCCCAAGCCCCGTCCACCCAGCCCGAAGAGGGCAGGAGGCCCGAGGGCTGGGCACGACCCAGTATCCCCGCGTCCCCGCTCAGCAGCCTCATCCTCTGTGGCCATGCTGCCCCACTCACCACAAGCCCCAGCACAAGCGTGCGGACGCGTTCCCCGATCTCTGGGGAGATGTCGCTGCCGAATTGCTGCAGGGTGGTGAGGAAGCGCTTGAGTTTGCTGAGCTGCCGTGCCCCGCAGGCTGGGGGCAGGTGTTGTGTGGACAGTGAGGCTGTGGATGAGGTGGCTGGGCCATTGCTGAAGCCGTTGGGCGTGGATGGGGTGCCGTTGATGGCTGTCGGCGAGTGGCTGCTGCCGTTCATTACTGGTGGGGGGAGAGGGGAGTGAGGAGCACAGCAGAGAGCCAGAGTCCCTGCCTGGAGTCACAGGGACGCCATGGGAGCACCACACCCTTTACAGATGCGTAATCTGGGGCCTGGAAAGGTGGAGCCTCGTCCCAGGTCTCAGGGAGTGGGGGCTGCTTGGTCAGGCCCTCCACACCCAGGGGGGACGCCAGGCAAACACCTAAGGCTGCTCAGTGTCTGCTGTGAACAGAGGGGCTTCTCCACTATTAGGGACCTGCTGGCCCACTTCCCCTCTCCTCGGGGGAGACCACTCCTCCACCCTCCTCCATCATGACAGCCCTGCGAGGTGCCCACTCTCAACAGGTGCCATCGCCCACACAAGGGCTCCAATCCCCGTGCTGATGGGACTCGGGTGGGGCAGAGGGACCCAGACACCCCAGGACAAGTGGGCCTGGATCCTGGCTGGGGAGCCCCTGGGCTGGGTGCTGTTGCGCAGGCTGTATGTGGAGAACCAGCAAGTTACCTAAGGGACCCACATGCATACACTGCAGGGCCCCAGGAGCAGGGCTGTGAGTTACCCAGGCCCTGGCGGCATCATCCAGGGTGTCCCAGGGCTGGCAGAGGCCAGGGGTGCTGGGAAATGGTCCCAGGACAGGACCTCCTCCCTCAGCCTTGGGTGACAAGCTCTCACACTGGAGGCGAGGGAGCCCTCTGTGCCCGATCACCTGCATCCCTGTCCCCTAGCCTCAGAAACCCTAGTGATGACCACCGGGGTCTACAGAGAGGTCAGAGGTCACAGGCTCCCAGGGCCCTTGGTAAGGGTGGAGGGGAAAAAAGGGTGGGGAAGCTGGATATTTCTGGGAGGCCTGAGGCTCAACTGCTAAACCTGGGAGCCGCTCACACCTTGCGTCCTTGGCTACCACACCGGCACCTGCTCCAGGCGGCTCACTCTTGTTCTTACACTCAGCCCCTTGTATGCTCATCTGCCTGCTCCCTGTGGGCACTCCCTGCACGGGGATTGGGAGTGGGCACCCTGTCTGAGGCCCTATACCACCTGCACTAGCTTAGATGGGGGTGAGACTTGGGGCCTGGCCTTGGTTTCTTTATATGCAAATGACCCCTGGCCCAAACCAGGGGTGGAGCTTCCCCACTCCACAGTGCTGGGCCCCTCTGCTCCGGCTTCTGCAGCTGATAGAACCACGGTTGTTCTTCTACCCATGGAAGGAGCCAGAAACGCTTGGCCTTGATTGCTTTCACATGTGGGTGATCACTCATCAATAACTAGCCCCCACTTAGCAGAAGTTCGGAAACCACTGATGAGGCAGGGCTGACACAATGCGAGTGGAAACCTGTCTGCCTCCCTGGTCTGGATGATTGTAGGAGCGCCTTCTGGACCCTAGAAGTGACACCAGCTCTGGAATAGTCCCGCAGGGAGGTGCGCCTTGCTCAGCCTTCCCGCTCACTCTGGGATGAAGAGAGAACTCCAAACACAGGACAGGAAGAGGCCCCGTCCTCCCCCCGTCTGAGGCATCATCCAGAGGACCCTTGGACAGACCAGAAGACTCCACTGTTGTGCTAATTTTCTGTCTCACCAGCGAGCTCCAGCCAACCCCACGGCGAACCCTGACACACACACACACACACCCTGGTCAAGACTGATGACAGCCACCAGTGGTCACACCAGCCAGGCCGGGAGATGGCCCCCTGCCACGGGAGACCTCTCCACGGTGGGGGGCTCATTCCGAGTGGCAGTTGGGCTATCACCTGGGGTCTGGACCTTCCAGAGGCTTCTAAGATGTGTGGCTGTTCATGCTTCCTGGGTTCCCACCCACGGCCCCTGGCCCAGCCTGGGCCCAGCCTCCCTGCAGCTCCCTTACCAGCCTGCCCTCGGTGCCTGGGTCCTCCCGGAGGCCTGCTTGCCCTCGCTGGCCCGTGCTCCCTCCCTCAGGCTGCCGGGCAGTCTCAGCAGCTTGCTAAAGAGACGCCGAAAATAACCCCCGGCCACAAGTGCTTTCATTCCACAACAGGTGTGTTACTAAGTTAGACTGCACACGTGTCCCCGGCTGAGGTTTGGGGGCACACACTAGCACCCCCGCAGCTCCCCAGCCCTGGGCCTGGGCGGGGGTCAGGCTGGGATGATGAACCAACAAACAGCCTCCCTGCCAGCCCCTCTCCCTGCTGCAGAAGCAGCTCTGGGGCTGGGAATCACACCGTCCTGATAGCGCTGCAGCGCAGCGACGGCCGGACCCAAGAGCAAGGCCAGGCGTCACAGAATAATGGCGAGGAGGACCACGCATCACAGGACATAAATAATGCACAGTCATTATGTCACCTCCTCTTGGAGCCGGGAGCTACGCGGCAGCCACGCCTGGGCTGCGCAGTCCAACCGGCTTGCAGTGGGTGCCTGTCCTGACGCTGGCTGACATCACTCTGAGCATCGCTCCATGAAAACTTCCTGTTATGGACATCGGCCGTGGCCTGAGCACTTTGACGGCAATGTCCACTAGTGACCATAATGTCCACTGGGCACCCAGTATGTGCCAGGCCTCCCGCCGACTCCACCAGCAGCATAAGACGACTTCTAGGTGGGGAAACTGAGGCACAGATGGTGGTACCTGCCCAAGGTCGCCCCACTGGGAAGAGGAGGAGCTGGGATTTGACCCAGGCTGGGGTCTGCCCTTGAGCTGCTAAGCTACGGACTTGCATTGACATTCTACCTTCTCACAACTCTGGGATCGGCCATATCCGCCCTGTTTTGTGTATCGGGAAAAAGGAACACAGAAGGTGTCCACCTGCCTAACGTCACACAAGTCATGAGGAGCAAGGCTGGGAGGTGACTGTGGGTCTGAGGACTCCGACTGCTCTGCTCTCCTGGGCCTGCCCCTCGGACCTCTCCTCAGACCTCACTGACATGCAGACGCAATAGTGGATTGTGTAGGCAAGTGGGGTCATCGTCAAGGCCTTCCCAGGCAGAGGGTGTGGGTGAGGACCTCCTGGGAGGCCTGTGGTTTTTGTTATTTTACTTACAAAGACAGACCATAGACCATTTTAAGCAGCCATGAAAACGGCCGTGGGGCAGGGACATCGCAGGCCCGTCCTCTCGATCTGTAAGCAAAATAAGAAAAACACTCTGTGAGGAAGGGGGCCACGGGCAGGTGGCTCTGCCCTGCGGGGTGTCTCAATCGGCCCCTCCCCTCTCTGCTTTATGACAGCAGTTTTGGGGATTGGGACTGTCACCACCTTAGGCCAGTCATTCCCTTCTGAAGGTCTCAGTTTTCTCTGTTACATGATGGGCCTTGATTACGGGATCTCTTAAGGACATTTCTGGTGGGACCTTCCAGGGGCCTGTAAGAATTCTGGCATCTCTATCTGCATGAGTGGGGTACCTGGTTCTTAAAATGTTCTCTTCCTGGAAGGTGCCTGCTCACCCCACTCAGCACCATCCTCAAGGGGCCCGGAGCCTGAGCTGACTTATGAATCAGGGCTAGGGGTCTCCATCGACAGACAACCCAGTGATGGTTCCAAAACGAAGCCCAGGACCATACTGCCATGAGGGGAGGAAGCACCAAACAGGAAAGAAGATTTGATTTGTTTGAGCTGGAATTAGTGAGCAGAGGCCAGAGGAGACAGGCTATGCTGCTGTAATCAGAAAGTGAGCCCCCTGTCACATGGGGTAATCAAGGGCAGGCTGGAGTGTTAGCCCTTTGAGGGTCCTCCCAGCTGCAGAGTAGCTCCTTACATTCCTTCCCAGAGTTCCCTCAGCCCCCCTGTCCATCTCCCTAGCCACACCACAGCTTCAACTCCAATATGAATCTGTGCCTAGGGCGGTCACTGGGCAAGAAAACCACAGCCCTCCAGCCCTGGTTCAAGGTCAGCCTCTGGTCAGCTTGGCTCACAGGCTGGTCCCAGGGAAGCTGGCGAGACTCTTGGCAGGAATCCGAGGCTGAGCACAGAGGCTCCGTCCATTCAGGCTGCCACCAGCCAGGTGCATGACATGGTTAACCACCCGCTCTCAGGGAATTCTTCGGTAGGGAACAAATCTGAGGCCACCTAGAGGTGGCCAGACACCCAGATAGATGGCCCCAGCAGCCCAGTGAAACTAAAGCATCAGCTTAGAAAAGAATTACTTGTCTCTTATGACCTCTGTGCTCTAAATAGAGCTGGGACCTCGAATCCAGGAGCGTGAGCCCGCAGTGGTGGGGGCGCATGGGGATGGGAGGGTGTGAGGGGAGCACCCTGAGCCGCACACAGGCCTTCTGCCCACACGCACACCTGTTCACAGGCCTCCTGCAAGCACACGGGGGTGGTGTCAGCTGACCTTAGCCCTGTCCCTAACCTGAAACATCTGGTTCCCAGACCATTGCTTTCTGGAACATGGGCTCCTAGAGCAAAGTAGGCTGAGGGAGATGCATGTGCCCATGAGCCTCAGAGCCTTGGCCTGACCGTCAAGTGTCTGTTGGCTTCTCCTGCTTGGAACCGAACACGAGGTGGGTTGTCACCTTAGGTCAGCGGTTCTCAACCTGTGGGTCACCAACCTGTGCATTGCGACCCCTTTGGGGGTCGAACGACCCTTTCACAGGGGTCGCCCAAGACCATCGGAAAACACATATATAGTTACATATTGTTTTTGTGATTAATCACTATGCTTTAATTATGTGCAATTTGTAACAATGAAAATACATCCTGCATATCAGATATTGACATTACGATTCATAACAGTTCACAGGGGTCGTCTAAGACCATCGGAAAACACATATATAATTACACATTGTTTTTGTGATTAATCACTATGCTTTCATTATGTTCAATTTGTAACAATGAAAATATATCCTGCATATCAGATATTTACATGACCATTCTAACAGTAGCAAAATGACAGTGATGAAGTAGCCACAAAAATAATTTTATGGTTGGGGGTCACCACCACATGAGGGACTGTATTAAAGGGTCGCGGCATTAGGAAGGTTGAGAACCACTGCCTTAGGTGGTGGCCCATGGCCTATTTCCTTGGGAGCTGCTGCTGCCCTGCAGGAGTAATTCCTTTTCTCCCTGGCTGAGGTGCAGGCTGTGAAGTTAAATACAACTCACGTCCCCCCTTTCTACCTACGGGGCCCTGACGGGGTGGCAGCTGTTGAGTAGATGGAGATGCTGCCTGCGTTCCAGTCAGAGGTGAGGACTGACTCTGCCAAAAGAGAGGGCAGGTGACCAGGCGGCCAGTGCCACGCAAGAATTGTGTGTGAGAAAGCCCAGCCTCTGGCCCCTTCTAGTGTGGCTGACAAAGGCAGACAGAGACCTGTGGGCTGAGAACTGTGGAGTGAGAGCCTGCTGCCCTGGGCCCGTCCTGGGGCAGGAGGCAGGGCTGAGGACCTGTTCCAGTCTCTGTGATGCATGGGGACCCTAGCTAAGACCTGCTAGAAAGGGGGAGCCAGAACCTTCTGTGCCAAGCGAAGGTGTAGGGAAGGGTATTGGTCACTAAGCTCCTACTGTGTGTTGAGATGTCCCTGTTTTCAGGCTGCCACACATGGCAGCAGGTGATATCACTCCATTTATCAAACTGAGGCTCAGAGGGTCAGGAGACTGGCTTAAGCCAATATCCTACAAACAAGGGGTCGAGCCTGACCCCACAGCCAATGCCTTTTTCCTGAGGGAGGCTGGGCCACAAAGCTGGGGCCAGCCTTGGGTGGCACACCCAGTGCCCTTTGTGTCCAGACATAGAGATCTAGACCGGCCTTGTGGTTCACCCCACGCTCTGGGCAGAGCTATGGGTCCTGGCTGGAGGCAGCAGCTCTTACTTCTTAGCCCCGTGAGGACCAGGAGCCACAGGCTAAGGAGTCTGCGGCTCCTGCCACACCAGAGAGGCTTCATTTGGGTTTCAAAGCCTGGGGAAGGGTCCTTAGGTGTGGAGGTGGTACACAGATTCTCTCCAATGCCCATCAGAAACCCTTAGGACACACTGCTAAGCCCCTGGCCCAAACCTGAGGATTTCCTTCCCAACTGTTCAGGATCCAAAATCACTGAGTCCCCAGCTTCTCTGACTCTAAGGAACAGACTCCAGCAGTGGTGGTGGGTTCCGGAGGACCCAGAGCTGCTGTGAGGCTCGAGACACTCAACCTGGATGTACCCACGGCTGGCGAGACATTGCCTAAGGGTCTGTTCTACCCACCACATTGCTGGCAGCTGAGGCCCTGCTGACCCCAGTTTCTGGCCAACCTGCACCCCCCACGGGGGCCTGGCTGCAGAGCCCCTGGTATTAGAGCCTGTGGGGAGCTCCTCTGAGACCAGAGCCGCCTCTGCTGGCTCTCCAGCAGGGCGCAGGCCTGACTGAGTTCACCTGCACTCCGTAACCTGCTGTCTGACGGGGAAGCCCCGACCCTCTCCAAGTTCCAAACATAACAGCCAACTTTGATGGAATGTTCACGATATGCCGGCCACTGGGTAGGAACTTCTATTAACTCACTTGTCTTCACAGCAGCTCAGCGAGGCAGGGGCTATAGCCAGCTCTGCTGTATAGATGAGGAATATGAGGCCCAGAGAGGTTGTGTAGCTTGCACAAGGGCCCACAGTTACGAAGTGGAAGAGTTGGGATTTGAACCTCAAAGCTTGGCCTCAGCCATGATGGACCCTCCCTTTCAAGGGCCCAACGGTGGATATTTAAGGGTTTAGGGCATAGGAACCGGAGCACCGGCTCTATTAGCATGAAATGAGGTTTGGCACCTCAGCAACTTCAAGGGCCCGAGAGATCTCTTTGCTCTGCCCCATGTGGTGCCCAGCCCTAGAGTTACTCACTTGTGTGGGGTGTGAAGGAGGAGTGCCGTGTGGTGCCCTGGGATGCAGAGGGTGGAGGGGGCGGCATGCTGGGGGGCGTGGACCGGGGCTGTGTCTTCACCTCCGCGGGGGAGTCAGGCATCGCGGCAGCCTTCTTCTCCTTCCTGTCCACTGCTGTGCCGGGGGTTCGGGGAGGGGAGAAAAGAGAAAGCCAGTGAAGCAGGCGGAGAGGGGAGGGGGCAGCACCTCCCCAGCCACACCTCGTGCCTGGAAAGCCCCGGGCCCCAGCAGCTGGGTTTGGGACTGTGCTGCTGGAGACCCAGGTGGGGGTTACCCAGCTGGACCCAAGGTGGCTCCGTCTCTGCCCACAAAGCCAGATCCGGCCCCAGGGCCTGGCCAATCCCAGATAAGCCCCAGGTGTGTTCACAGGTGGCTGATATCTCACCCACCTGGGACCAGAGGGTGGGCTTGGGTCAGCCCATCTCAGGTAGGCTGCAAGAGCCCTAGGCTGGCCAGAACGGGGGCTTGGATCCTCCCTGGGCTGGGGTGGTGGGCGCTCTGGTACTGCGGACCCGGGAGTCGGGCGGCACCCACTGAGGCAGCCTCCACCAGCACTTCCTGAAGGGCCTGTTCAGATGCACATACTGGCCTCCCCACCCCCATTTCTGATTAAGCCGGTGTGGGGTGGGCATCTGTGTTTCCATCAGGGCCCCAGGTGAGGCTGCTGCAGTGGGTTGAGGCCCCATTCAGGCTGGAATGGGGGTCTTCCAGGAGACATGGGGTGGTGGAAACTCCTTTTTAAAAAAAATATATTTTATTGATTTTTTTACAGAGAGGAAGGGAGAGGAATAGAGAGTCAGAAACATTGATGAGAGAGAAACACCAATCAGCCGCCTCCTGCACACCTCCCACTGGGGGTATGCCTGCAACCAAGGTACACGCCCCCGACCGGAATCGAACCCAGGACCCTTCAGTCCGCAGGCCGACGCTCTATCCATTGAGCCAAACCAGTCAGGGCTGGAAACTCCTTTTTAACCATCTCCTGGCCCTGGGCAATTCCTGGGAGCAGCCAGGCTGGGGACATGGTCAATTTCAGGCCGGTCTAGGTCTGCCCACTCAAGGTGTGGTCTGTAGCTCAAGGGTTGAGGCCCTGGAAACTGTCAAAAGTCCTATGTGGTCTGATGCTCTGCTAGGGGCCAGCTGGGTGGAGAGAGGGTGGAAGTGGCAAAATGAAACCTGGGTGGGGCCTGAGCTCCCGGCCCCACAAAGCAGGACCCAGAGGAAAAGGCCTCTGAGTTACTCTGGCCAAACACACAGACCCTGAGCCAGCAGCTGCCTGGGCATTCTTTGCAGGTGCAAGGGGGTGAGCACTGGACCTCCCGCTCCATCTTAACACAAGGTCAGCCAGGGCCCGCCTGCGTAGGCCACAAAGACCTGGGGCAGAGGCTGGGATTTCAGATGGCCCAGCCGCTCAGGGCCGTGGAGGTGGACCTTCTCTACCTGTTATGTAAGGAGGCGCAGCCCACCCTGCCCTGAGCTCGTCTTGCTAACGCTGACGGGGTCTCATCCAGAGCCAGGGAGATGGTGGGGCAGAACCGCCGTCAAGGCTCAATGCCCCTTAGCAGTCACTGTGTGACTACAGTTCTTTTCCCTCTGCTCTCCCCCCATTCGCCCCTTGCTCAGGGCAGACACATAGACATGTGTGTGTGGGGGGGTGGCCCGCCTCTGGGGATGGTGATTAATAATGCTCACAAATGGCATGACCATTATCTCATGCTCAATGCTGTGCAAACCTCCCTTCATCTCTCCCTACCTCCCCCTCACAGAGAGGAGATGCCCACCCGTCCGCAGCACCAGGGAGGGGCTCTCACAGTCCTCCACACTCCAGGGTCCTGGGGGGTGAGAGGGAAGCCCCCGCCCTGCTGGGCCCATGGAGGGAAGCAGCCAGAATCAGCCGTCACCCAGCCTCGCAGCACCTGCTGTCCACTCAGCTGCAGCCGCTGGCCTCCCTCCCGCCGGGCACCCCGCTCCCCCTTCCCCACAGCCAGCCTGTCAGGAGGCTGATGGCTGGGCACATGTGCACTGCAGCTGTGGGGCCCGTCAACACCATGCCTGGCTGCAGGGCCGGTGGCCAGTCCCTGGTGACAACCAAAGAAGGCAAGCGTGGCTGGCCGCCGTGGGCCTTGGGCCACCCCTAAGGGTGCAGGCTGTCCTGGCCAGCCCTTCATCTGACCAGGCCACCCCAGGGCAGGCAGTGCCACCAGCATGCTTGGAAGGGTGTTTCGGATGCCAACCTGGGACACGGGCCGCAGGCCTGTTCTGACTTTCCAAAGCCCTTCCACACTGGGGCTTGGCGGAAGCCTTAGAGACTAAACAGACCAGAAAAGCAGATAAAGGAAAACCCCGTTGGGGAGGGCCACTCAACGTACTGACACTCGTTACACGGAGCTTGTTAACAAGACCCTCAATGGTCAGAGAGAGGTGGAGGAAGGGTCCAGGCAGGACAACTCGACACGTCGCACTATCTCCACAGCCCGAGAGCGGGCTCAGGATACACTCATGCCACAGTGCCTGCTGGGACTCGAGGCTGGAGCAGGCAGAGCTCCGCTGGTGCCCAGCAACCTTGGGTGAAAAGGAGAAGGAGGCAGACGCAAGGCCATCTGTTTGCGTAGGAGAGGAGGCAGGTCCTGCTCTCGGCACTGGACAGTTATCACTCCTTTTATTCTCACCAAAACCGTTTCGAAGGCACAGAGAGATGCAGTAATCTGCCCAAGGGCACACAGCAAGTATGGGTGCCTCCCTGCAGTCACATGGGATTGCAGGGTTTCGTGGTTGTCACCCACAGGCACCCTTCTCCTTTTTGAAGAGGTATCACGCTGCCCCAGCTCCTGCCTGGATTGTGGGTCCTGAGCATGCTAGGACCATAGGTGCACCACACAGGATCTCATGAGTCTTTCTTGAATCTTGTTTAAGTCCTGGCTCTATTTCCCTCCGGGCAATGTGACCTAGGGCAAGTTACCGCATCTCTGAGCCTCCATAAGGGGCAGCTGGAGGCTCGATATCAGGTGAAGGGTCTGCACATAGGAGCACTCAGTGAAATGCGGCAAAGGTTTATAGAGCAACTCATGTGCTGCGTCCCTGCTCCCGAGGCTGCCCGCAGCACAGACCCCGCCTCGGAAAGGAGGAAACGACGAGGGCCTCAGTGCAGAGCAGAGGTGGTGTGGAGATGAGGAGGACCAGCACTGTGGGCAAGGAACAGAGCACAAAGGCCAGAGGCGAGTGCTCAGGGCCTCTAGTTGCACAGAAAAATCGGGAAGGAAGGCCAGCTGGGGCTAGGCTGGCGAGCGTAGATGCCTGCACAGCAGCGGGAGCCACTGAGGGCTCTGCACGCAGCTGGAGCGGGTCTGGAGTGCGCACACGGTTTCTCTGGCCTAACCCCTTCAGCGGCTTCCCTGCACACGGGCTTCATCAGGCTTACCCCCAGGGCAAACACTGGTGCCTCTCTACACTCTAAGGAGCCACCAGACAGGGGTAACTCTGTTCTCCCTGTGCTGGCTTCCTGCTCTGCCCCCCTTCAAGGCCTCATCCTGAGCTAAGGCTGCTCGGGGTCCCCCCAGACTCATTGGGAGGCTCAGACCCCCAGCAGCTCTCACACGACCTTCCTGCCCAAGGCAGCCAGCGTAGGGACGTCCAGGAGGGACCCTGTGCCCATAAGCCAGTGAGAGCAGGAGCGGCTGGGGCATGGGGGGAATGGGAGAGTCCAGGGGAGGGCCCTACTGTTGGCTTCTAGGTGCCAGTGAGAGGGCCACCCTTTCCCCGTTTCCCACCAAGGATGCTGAGGGGGCCAGCATGAGCCGGCTCAGAGGGCAGAGCTCCCACAAGTTCGAACCGCCACCCGTAAACCTGGGCCAGCCCCACAAGACGCTCGTTCCCTCCCCATTCTTTGTCCCCTCCCTCCTCCAGTGTCCACTCTCAGGTGTCCTCAGACCCAGTCGGAGCTGGGCTCATGCCCTGCATGTCCACACAGCGTCCCCAGAAAGCGCTGTCAGGGCCCAGGTGTTGGCTCTCCAAGGTCACCAGCCTGTGAGAGGCAGACCAAGGCCTGCCCTGGCCATCGGACCCCCGCGCTTATTCATCTTCTAATGTGCTGTCCCCCACCCCTTACAGGGGCTTTCTTTGTTGTCTTTCCCACCATGGATGCACAAGGGATGGGGGCCTGCTGGTTCCTGAGTGGCTGGTGTCTTGATATCGTCTGAGAGTGCAGGAGCCGATTCACGACATCCTAGTGAGAGAGAGGGGAGAGGGTGGGCAAAAGCTCCCTGTCCTCTCCAGCCCCCTGGTTCCTGAGTGGCTGGTGTCTTGATATCGTCTGAGTGTGCAGGAGCCGATTCACGACATCCTAGTGAGTGAGAGAGGGGAGAGGATAGGCAAAAGCACCCTGTCCTCTCCAGCCCTTGGGATCTGGGCTTCCTGCTCCAGTTCACGGTCAGAGCTCCCCGCCCCCTGCCCGCTGCTCCCAGCACTAAAGAACATTCCCAGACTCTGTGCTCCCAGGGCCCGAGGGACTCCCTGTGTCTTTCCCAGACGGGTATCCAGTTCCCAGCGAAATGTCACTAATCCATCGACAGAGGAAGCAGTTCTCCAAGGCCAGGCGGAGTTGGTGGGAAAGAACACGGAATGTGCCGGAACAAGCCACCCCATCCATCACTGTCCGTGTCTGCCTGTGGTTCCCAGCCCACACTGCCTGGCTGAGAACTGGCCATCGACCAGGGCTCCCAGCCCTGGGGTTCTAGAACCCTCTGCAGGAGGAGGACCTGCTAGCATCAGCACAGCTCATTTTCCCAGCTTTGCCCTCCTTGAATCCACGTTGCTGCCAAAATAACAAGCTCCCGCTTTGATCTTTTGTAGTCTGATTCCTACTGCTACCTCATTTGACCCTCACGAAAGCCGTGGGATGTAGGAAGGCAGCAGGTAATGACAGGTAACCTGCCGCAGGCTCTTTGCACAGGCACCAACAGGTACTGACAGATAACAACAGGTAATCTCAGCTGTTGCTGCCTCAGGCCCTTTGCACAGGGACTGACAGGCAACAATGCCAGGGCCCTGCCCTGCCCTGCACGAACCACCTCATCTTGTCCCCACAGCAAGCCTGTGAGGTGAACAGATGAAGAAAC